TCTTTCTGATCATTATTGCTTGTAACAGTAGGCATGGGGCTTCCTAATTGTCCTGATGAGGCACGTTCTCTGCAGAAACTGGAAATGACTGAACCATGTTTGCCATGGGGGCCTGTGAGGCCCCCCTCTCACGTTTCCCGACTGTATCGGGTTGCCTTGTCTATCTCTTGTAGACCTGCATTCATTCGTCCAATGTCTGCCTTTTCCACATCTTCTACATAAACCTGAAGGCTGAGTCCTCCTATTTCTGTTATTTCTGGAAGATCCATTATTATTATTATTTCTGAAAGGTGCATTATTATTATTATTTCTGAAAATCCGTTGTCTACAATTCCTTTTCATATGACCCATTTTTCCACAATTAAAACATTTGATATTCTGGTGTCTCCTTTTACCATTGGAAATTGCTTCTTCTACCCATGCTTCAGTGCCATAATCAAATGTATCAACATTGAGTGTATGCAAGACCCATTCTTCCAAGGGTGCTGATCTGAGCTTTAAAGGCCCCCAAATCCTTTTGCATTCCACATTTGCATTTTCATAAGCCAAAGACTCAATCATTATACGTCTTGCTTCTGGGTCAGATATCCCTATTTGTACAGCCTTAGTTAATCTTTGTAAAAAGTCACTAAAGGGTTCTCTCTGACCCTGTTTAACAAATGATTCCATTCTCTGTCCTGGGTCTTGTACCCTGTCCCAAGCCTTTAAGGCTGCTGTAATACACATGGAGAGTGTGTTTCATCCAAATTAGCTTGTTCCTGAGGGTCGGAAAAGAGCCCTTCACCTAGAATTTTATCTAGGGAAATGTCAATTCCCTTCGCTTTTTCCTGCTGTTCTAAGAGTCTAGCCTCTTGCCTGAATAAGCATTTCCATTTCAATTGTGGTCCACTCTCAAGTACGGCAGAGCTCAGCTGGAGCCAGTCCGAGGGGGTTGCTCTGCCTGTTGTGGCCCAAGATCTTAGCATCTCTTTAACAAAAGAGGCTTGCATCCCAAAAGTCATGACAGCCTGTTTTATTTCCTTGAGATCATTCATACGGACAGGCTCCCATGTACTTATCCCTACACCATCTTAAAGATAGCTGTGAAACATCTTTAAATACCTTCTTCATTCCTTGTTCACATGGCTCCTTTCCTTTGTAGTAACGCCTCTTCCTTTCTCTATGGACACTTGTGATTCCATTTTGTGTGCACGCCAAGATCTCCCTCCCTCTAGATCCTCCGCTTGAATCACATCTATAAAATTTCTTTGGTCATCAGTGGTGGCCTTCACGGATTCCTAGGACTAGATTGAAATACTCTGACTTTCGTCATTGAGAAAAGGGAATTACATCCAGAGACTCATAACCCAGGCTCAGCATGGTTGCCTTAACGGTAGGTTTAAAATAAGAAAAATGAGACCTTTTGGAGAAGTTTAGTATAACTTGAAAAGGAAAGGGACTATTGAGGTACTAGGACTCCCAGAAACGTGAAGCATAGCAGACAGCCTGAGTGAATCAAATGCAATTGAAGCCTTTATGGAAGTGAGAAGGCCAGGAAGGCAGAAGCCAGAATTTGGAGGTCTTGAATCTTTATGTTCTGGGGCAGAGAGCCATGAACGGGTGGTAATAAGGGGAAGAGACAGACGTCACCGTTGTACCTGGATCTAGTGTCTGAACTATACTGGGGAAACATAAAGTCACATTCAACAGATATTTCTGAACTCCTAGGAAATGTTAAATTATAAAATTCCTAGACCAAGATAGGCATGGTTCCCACCTACCTTTATGGAATGTGTTTATGGAGAATAAGGCCAATAGACAATACATAATCAAACCAAATATTTAAACCTCGAGGTATAGTATTAAAGGAACATGCGGAGTGATGTCAGAGAGTAGCTGTGTTTTAGATGTTGCTCAGGGATGGTCTTCAGAGGACACAAAGACTGAGATGAGAATTGTAGAGTAAGAAGGTGGGAAAAGATCCCCACAAGGATCCATTTATGAAAGGAAGAAAGATGATGTCATACGCTTCAGAGGAGCAAGCGAGGAGGGGGTGTGGTCTGAGCTTGGAGATTTGCAAACTCAGATTTCACAAGACTATAAAATAAAACTACGAGAAGCCACTAAACTGTTGTGCTAGCGTGCAACTTGGGTGAATTGACTTTTTAAGTTCCAGATAGCTCGAATGGGGATGCTGTCTATTAGAAATATGGACATGCAACAGGGATGGAGAAAGCTAGCAAAACAAAGAGATCCTCTGGAGATAGCAGGGACTTGTTTGGGTAAGAATGATGGGCATTTTGAAAGTAGAGGAAAGAGAAAGCAGAGGGTCAGAAGAGCCAAATTTGGCAGTTACTGGGATATTATTCCCAGGGAAAAGAAGCAGGCTGTTTTGGGTGTAGCGGTGGCGAGGACTGTCAAGGTCAGTTTTGGAATGTGGGGTTTCCTGTTGAGCCGTCACGTGGGCAGGAATAGCGCACAGTGGGTCTTAAGTGCAAGTCTGTCTCACTTAGGGTTTCTACTGCGGCGATGAAACACCACGGCCAAAACACAAGTTGGGGAGGAAAGGGTTTATTTGTCTTATAATAAATATCATCACCGAAGGAAGTCAGGACAGGAACGCAAACAGGGCAGGATCCCGGAGACTGCTGCAGAAGCCGTCAAGGGGAGGAGCTGCTTACTAGCTGGCTTCCATTGTTTGCTCAACCCACCGTCTAACAGACCTGGGTCCACCAGTCCAGGGACGGCACTACCCACCATGGGCTGTTCCCTCCCCCGCTGATCACTAGTTGAGAAAATGCCATCAGCTGGATCTCATGGAGGCATTTCCTCAGCTGAGGTGCCTTCCTCTCTGAGGACTCTAGCTTGTGTCAAATGGACACACAGAACCAGCCAGTAAAAGACGAAGGGCTGACTTGGGGAGACTTAGAGGGGACGTGTCTGGGTGGTAATTAAGACCTTTGAGGTTGGTCAGGGAAATGATATCCGTAACCAAAACAGAAAGGCTCATACTGAACGTGGAGTGGGAAGAATTCCTAAAGTCCTGGACCAGGAGAGAACCACACTGCGGCAGGAGAGCACAGAGGGTTGCAGTGCTCTCCATCCTGAGAAACCACTAGCTAAGGAGGGAGTGTTCAGCTGCATCACGTGGTCTGGAAAGCTTCCTAGGTTTAGGAACAAAGAGGATGTGTTAGTCATTTGGGGCAAGAGCAGTTTCAGGGGAGTGGCTCAGACAGCAGGCAGATTAAATGATTGAGGATTGCATAAACGAGGGACCAGGGAGACGCAAAGGTGAGAGCCACCAGAGAGCTTCCCCGCTGTGCCTGGCCACAATGTAGTTTTATGCCTATTCATTTTATTTTATAACCCATGAAGATTAACCAGCGCCATCTGTGTGGCTGTGGGTGTGGAGCTGTCCTCAGAGCCCGGTAGACTCAGCAGGGAGTATAGAAGTAAAGACAGTGACTCTCACCATGCAGAGGGGAAGAGTAGAGGCCTGCGAACTCTCCCCATTCCTTGACTAATTGTCCATAGAGCTGGTTGTGGGCCCAGTTCAGGTAACTACAGTTCATGTGTCACTAATTACAGTGGTTACACCCGGTCTAGGGAAGGAAGTTTTGTAGCCCTTTGCCTGCAGTCTACTTCTTACATAGGTGCTGGACCCCAGTTTCTGCTCACTGCCACTCCTTCACATGTAGAAGTGGGGCTCCCCCTGGGCTACATGAGGGCGACTTTGAACAGACTGAAGGCAGGCATGAGAAAACAGCTTCCCTCTACTTATTTTCCTTAAAGTGAGCTACAAAACACTTCTCACCATTGTTTTTTAGACAGTCTCTTTTGTTATTTTTTGTAAACTAACATTTTTGCTTTCTAAGTTTTAATTTCTACAATAGTAAAATGCAGTTATGGATGGTAACTGCATTTAGATACCAACTTGACACTGCCCCGAGACACCTGTGAAGGGAGTCTCAATTGAGTGCTGTCCAGAGATATTGCCCAACCTTGAGAAATAGTTCAAAAAAATCAATGCAGCAATGCACAAATGATATTGTGTAGAGCAAGGTAACGACGAGGTTGTAAGCTCCCTTCCTCAATGGCGTATTTAGCTATAACATCCAGGCGCATTAGCGGTTTTTGTAGAGGAGCTTGGAGCACCAGATATGCATCGTCCATTTGAAATCCATTCATTAATTACATGACATTCCATTTTAAGCAATTTACAAGACTGACACAGCTCTTTAAACAACAATTTAGAAAGGGATTGTTAGGAGTCAATGTAGAGTAATGCTTCAGGAAAAAAAAATCAGTAGAGATAGACGGGCCAAGTGAAGGAATTTTGCTTTCACAAGGAATATGGGTCCTTGAGATGAAAAAGAAATAATATCATTGAGAGAGGGGAAAAGTAAGGTAATCTGGGAACTGGTCTCTATGATACACAGAAGATATGACGTCAGAGATGATACGACACTCGGAAAACTGAGATGCTTGTGAGCATGGCCAGCATAAACGACTATCAATTCTCCTCCTTTCCCAACGGGCCATAACTTTTCTTCATGAATTAGAAAGTGCAGTACTTCTTCGCGAGCACACTGCTGGTGTTTAGATTACTGAAGGAGTAAAAACCAGCCTGAGGTTGGTTGGAGGTTGCAGCCGCTGGTCAGTTTTAGGTACTCTGGGGTTGTTTCCCACTAAGTCCACAGCCATGCACCCACAGGCGGCACTAACTGGATTCATAGGGAAATGACAGAAAACAAGAGGCTAGCAGAGAAAGGAATTGGGGGTATGGTGAGAAATGGAGAGGGAAGATGGGGATGAGGGGATCACATTTCAGTGTGGATGTGTGAAATTCTCAGAGAACAAATATATACATATAAAAAGCTTGGCTTCCATCAAGCAAGCCTCCCTCAGGGTCTTCCTGCATCACCGTGCCTCCTCTGCTTCCAAAACTGAAGTGTTTGTCCCCTCTGAAGCTCTACCACAGAGCTGAGTTGAGGAAGTGACTCTGGCCTGAATACTGTGGTTAGGTGGCCTTTCCAAAATGCAACATGACCGACGGGAATGTCAGGTGGGGGCATAACCTAAACTTCTCCATCCAAATCTTAGTTCAGAGACTACACATTCTCAAGACAAATGTGGCAAAAAAGACATCATGCAGAGAGATCTGCGAGCCTAAGGAAAAATTATTTTATATTTTGTTCCATACAAACAAGAGCCTTGAATGCTAGCCATGATAAGAACTGCTTACACAGTTGGTTAAAACATTGCTGGACCTCAGCCCCACACAGAGAGGTCATGAACTTAAGTTTCTTGTGAACCACGTGATGCTGACTCTGGACTGTATTTGTAGGGCCTGGGCACTACAAAGACACCACCTCCATCCAGCACTGTCTAGTTACAGAGACATCCGTGCTGCCCTGGGGTGACTGAATCTTCACATTTCCTTCTGCTATTTCAGAGACTGCTAGCCTGCTAAAGAACTGTCTTTACTATAATTTACTTATACTTTACACTGTCATTTGATTTGTGTATTATAAAACTTTACACATTATATCACAAAGAAAACCAGTACCATTCCTCCTGTATAGAAAGTCTTCTTCGAAGGGAAAGTTACAAATAATTATAAAATTCTTGCTGGATGTTGTTTGTGAAGTTCTGTGCTTGAACTCTATTCTTCTTTAATAAGGTCGATTAAAACTAAGCACACACAATTGGCACAAAATTAAGCCCTTTTCCTTTACTTAACAAGAGGGTTCAAAACCAGCAAAACAAAAACATTATTATGTGGCTCAAAGGAGAAAAAGTTCTGACTCTTTGTTCTACCTACCATCCACTGTATTTGCATGCATTTTGGGAAGTAAGTCTCACAGAGAGCATCTTGTTCCCTTCTGAAGCCTTCATCTCTGTACTCATGAGCTATTTAAAGAGTGCCGGCATCATGCCAGGCCTCGCTCTGTGCTGACTGGTCACACTCAGCAGTGTTTCACCTCCCCTCGAAACACAGACATGCAAACATCAGGTCGCAGTGACAATCCTCTGCTGAGATTTCATTCTATGCAGAGAGGCGCTCACGGCACATTCGTCTGGATCCTCAACACCACTATGACTGGTCAGTATGTGTCTTAATGTAGAGTTTGTTCCGGCTGTGACAATGGGTGGGTGACTATACACGTGTCTTCCTTACAGTAAATCACCAGAGAAAAACGGTGGGTAACAAGCATGTAACTACAGATAGAGGCTCACACACCATGAACTGGAGACTTCGTAGTAAGTGGAAGACCAGGGCAGAGTTCATCTTATCAATTTACATAAACCACATACATCAGTATAAAAGTCCATTTGAGGGCATCAGTATTATTATTATTCCTTTTTTTTTTTGAGACAGAGTTTCTCTGTGCAGCCGTGGCTGTCCTAGAACTCGCTCTATAGACCAGGCAAGCCACGTGCCTCTGCCTCCTGAGTGCTGGGATTACAGGCATGCACCACCAATACTCAGCTGAGGGCATCGCTATTCTAAAAGGTAATTTTAAATACACACACATGAGGGAGGAGGGACAGGCATGGAGAGTAAAACCAATCTTAAAAAACAAACAAAAAACCCTACTTTTCTCCCCCCTAAATTTAATCTTTTTGTTATTGTTTGTTTGTTTATTTATTGGAGACAAGATTTCAGATAGTACAGGCTGGCTTTGAACTTGTTAGGTAGTTGAGGTCAACTCTGAACTCTGTCTGCTTCCATTTCCAAAGTTCTAGGATACCAGGTGTGTGCCACTACACCTACGTTTCTATTTTAATTTTTTAAAAAGAATTTAAGACAACTCATGAATCTAATTTTCATATTTCCCTATAAATTTATGTGTTTCTGGAAGTCCCATAAGAGTCAGAGCATAGATTAATGTCATTTTAAAATGGAATTTAAATTCTTTAAAAATTTTTCCCTATTACTTTATGTATACGAGTGTTTTGCCTGCATGTAAGTGCACTGAGTATGTGCCTGGTGCCAGAGACCAGAAGAGAGTTTAGGTAGCTGGGACTGGAATTACTCATGGCTGTGAGCTGTCATATGGGTGCTGGGAGGATCTTTGTCCTGTGCAAGTGTTGCTTCATCTCCCCAACCCTGGAGCTTACATTCCTATTGCAAATACAGACGATTTCATTGTCTAATGCCATTAAGTCCTTTGATCCTTTATTCATAGTTGTTCAGGTTCTGAGTCTGCTGCATTTCACAAGTTTGCGTTTTCAAATTTATCGTTTCTCACTTTTCACTAACAGTGCTACACAGTTTTCAGAAGAAGGTATCACTTCTTAAGGGTTCCCTTTAGTGATGTAAGCTAGCAGCCCAAGGGAAAAAAAGAGTCACATTGTATTGTCTTTTTATTGTTTGTGGTGACGTTGGTGTGAACAAGCTTAGAAAATAGAAACTGGAGCAGCGTGCCTGTTGTGTGGGAGTTGAACAGACTGAGTCAGATGTGCATCTAAGCTGGGAGACCGGACCTGCGACACCCTGCAGTGTGCAGACAGTGCTGTGCTACAAGGAAAACAGCAACAGGACCGGCTTCTATTCAACCAGCATGTGCCCAAGACAGGAGCAGAAAGCAGCTGCGTCAGAATGCACACTGGGCCGCTCACTCTGCTGACAGAGGGGAGGCAGAGGCAGGATGGAAGGCCAGTGGTAATAAAGACAGTTTTGGTCTTCTTTATACACGTTGTGTACCTTGAAACAACCTTCTAAAATTTTTGTGGATAAGCTTTAAAAAAGGAGTAACTCTTTGGGGATCTGAATTTGGGATTGCAGAGTGGGAATATTGTATCACTGCTACATAAAGTCAAAATGCACTTTAGAGGAACAATGAAAGCTACAGAGGAAGGGAGTTTAGAAATGTCTTCCATCAGAAACAAAGGCTTACCTTAAGGCACTGTGATGTCCAAGAAAAATGTAGTTATTACATAAAAAAGGTTCAAGTAATGAAGCTGACATAAAAAACTGAACTACACGGCATAATGCAAAAGTTTATATTAATTAAAAAAATACTGCAATGTCATGGAAGGAGACATACTCATCTCTTCCAAAAAACCTTCAGTGAAGCATCCAATACACTTATGTATTTATACAAATATTATCCAGGTAACAGACATATAAATAACCATTTGTAAACTGACTTTCCTCTCAAAAACTCACTCACAAGCTTTTATTTTGAAGAAAATTTGACGATGGTGCTCTGGAAAACACAGGCAGTTCTGGGTAAGGCTGGAGTCCCATTTGCTTGTTGTCTTTCAACTTCTGTACTATAACTCTGGCGAATTCCTCTCCTTGGATGTCACTGGTGTCTAGTAACTGTCTGACTTTTGAGGTCCTTGTTGGTTTGGTACAAATGAGTTCATAGTCCTCCTTCATGATCAAGTCCCGGGCCAGAAGGGCATCCAGTGACTGGTTAAGGCAGGCCTCCGTCATTTGGCTCACAATGTCTTCCCTCTTGCTCTGGATCCACTGCTGGGCTATACCAGGCTGGAGACGCTCTGTAGAGGGACAGAGCATGAACAGCATACAAACTTGAGGGCAGACATATGCAATGAGTATGGAACGGGAGGTCCTTCTGTCTATGTGTTACTTTTATCAGTTAATGAATAAAGAAACTGGTTTGGCCTCTGATAGGATAGAACAGAGCTAGGTGGGGAAAACTAAAGTGAATGCTGGGAGAAAGGAGGGCAGGGTCAGAGAGAAGCCATGGAGCCCCTCTGGAGACAGACGCGTGGCGATGCACAGATTAATAGAAATGGGTTAAATTAATATGTAAGGGTTAGCCAATAAGAAACTGGAGCTAATGGGCCAAGTGATGATTTAATTAATACAGCTTCTGTGTGATTATTTCAGGGCTGAGCAGCCAGGAACAAAATAAGTGGCCTCTCTGCAACAGAGTATTATTCTGTATACACATGAATAAGCAGAGCACGCATTTCTGTATGACTGTGCTAGTATTAAACAGTATTTTTTAAAAATGCTTATTTTTCCAGGCATTATTTAGAGACTTGCATTTTATCTTACATTCACCTTCCTGGGAGAATCATGTATTTTTTAATATGCTATGCTGTCAGCCAAAATGACTTTATGTTTTGTTTAAAATATAAGGGATGCCTACATATCTAATAATCAAAAATAGCTTCACCGATACTAACATAGTAAGTAAAGCTTCCTCTTGACGCCTCCCTGTTAGAGACTCCTGGAGTACACCTGGCCCTAATAAGACAAGTCAGCATGAGGCTGGAGATGCTTTCCTACTTAACACTAAGAAGGCTCACTGTGCGGTGTGTGCACTTGTAAGGGAAATGCCAGCATCTGAGTGCGTCTTGCAGCATACACTCACCTGCACTTTTCTCAGCCAGCAGTGGATTTATTATAGCCAGAGAGCACAGGGTGGGTCTGTGCTCACAGACGGCTGCCCTCTGTGACGCAGAAACGGTGCCGTCCCAGCTGTGGTTTCCAGGACAGTGACGCAGCTTCAACGAGGAGCAGTCCTGAGGTCCTGCTACAGGACATGTCATTAGGGTAGAGCACTCACTAGATAGTCCTAGCGGGAATACCAAATCAGAAACCCAATGCTGAACATAGGTTAAGTGTTTTCAATGACATTTACTTGTGTGTGTGTGGAGGGCAGAGGACACCCTGTGGGAATCAGCGCTCTTTCTACCACGTGAGTCCTGAGGACCAGGTTCAGGCTGCAGGCTGGGCTGGAAGCACTTGACCCACAGCTCTGAGAACCTTTCCAGGGAAATAAGCATTTATACCCAAGAGTTTTTACTACTGTTAGTGCTTGCTGGCCCTGATTACTATAGCTCCTAAGATTTCCCTTCTTCTCATAGTCTGATACTTCTGCCCTGTGAATTCTTCCTTTTCCAGTTTAAAACTGTCTTAGGTCTGTAAGATACACAGACTTTTAAGTGTAAGAAGTCTGTGTTTGACATGTTTTCTCCTTTCTCCTCTAGAAAACAATCTAAGTGTTCCAACTGTTTATTGGTCCTTCAAGTTCACGTAATTATCTTTATGTCATTACTGAACTCAGTGTCTCCAACATTCTGCACATCGCCCCAATAGGTCCTGATGGCTTCTTAGACAAACAATAAATAAAATAAGAAAAATTAAAACCATAATCACCACCTGCCTTAACTCTAAACTCCATTTCGGTTCTTTGTTCTAGCAGGTGGTTTTCCAGGTTAACAACTTACTCAGCTTCATCTGTTCTCTCTTAGCTGCTCAAATGAGAAGTCGTAAAACATGGGAGCCACCTAATCTCTCACACTCTCCTGCTCGTCACTGTCCTTACTCCAAGTCTCCTCTTCATTTCCAGGTAGTGTCTACACGGCCATCACGACGGTCATCATGAGGGCTCAGTGCATCAAAGCCCTTGCTTCACCAGAATCTGATTTCCAGAATCCACAGTGGAAGGAAATACCTGACTCCCCAAAGCTGCCTTCTGACCTCCACATACGCATTGTGGCCTGTGCGGCTCTCTCTGTGCTGCCCCGCCACCTCACACACACACAAACAATAAATAAAGATAACTTCAAAATATCGTATATATTCCCAACAGGATGAGCCTTCCTAAAGCAAAAATTCTTATTTTATATTTCGTCAAGAATTACCTACTGAACTTAAAAGTCTAAATTACCTTAGCTGAGTGCATTTTTTTCTTTACTTTTTTTTTAAATTGGTATAAATATTTTGTTCTACAAATATGTCTGTGCACTGTGCATTCTTGGTGCCTATGGAGGCCAGAATAGGATAACTCTGGAGCTGGAGTTGTGACAGTTCTGAGATACTGTGTGGGTGCTGGGAATCGAACTCAAGTCCTTGGAAAGAGCCATCTCTCCAGCCCCTCGGGATTCTAGATATGACTGTGATTCCCCTCATATTTTATCTTTTCTTATTCACTCCATTTACCAGACAAGCTAAATTACCCACTGCTAGTTTGTTTTAGGGCTTCTGGACTCGTGTTCTTTACCATGGAGGGCCCATCTGTCATAACAAGAGGTCAGCCTCTAACAGACATAAAGCCTTCATGTTGACATGGACAGTGGAGTGACGTGAAGTATCGATCAAAAAGCCTGGCTTTACGAAAGTCTTGGATCTGCTAGCTACTTGCTGGGGGATCCAGAGTTCAGAATCTGTAAAAGAAGGACTAGCTCCCTCACACAGCTATTAAAAGTACTTTGTAAAGAATGTATCTTGTTTCCTGTATGTATGTATGTATGTGCATATATATATATATATATATATTTCTTAAAATATAGTTACTATGGTAATTTAGAAACATTTATCTCTTTTCTTGTGATATTAAGAAAAAACCGTTTCCATTGTGATCACAGACTGCCTTTAACATACAGGTATCTGCCCATTATCCCACTGCTACCTCCATGTGTACAGACCTGTCACTTACAAAGAAAGCGGAGCATAAATACAAATGAAGTGTGTTCCATGCACACCACTGTTCGCTAATGATACGGCCTCGAAAGAAAGTGGAAAAGTTGCTAACGATACTGATTGGGAAACTGGCATACCAGACAAAAAATCTTTGTCTTGAGGAGCTGACAGGGACCGGGAGGTTCCAGGAGAACCAGTGTTTCTGGAGAGCAGAGATGATCCACATGATTCCTGAAACAGACAGAGGACCGGCAGGTAAGGAGAGCTGTCGACATAAACGTTTGTGGAAAGGTACCATCTTTAAAGTTACAGAGCTAAGGCTTCTAGGCTATACTTGCCTTTGGCTTAAAAACCAAGACCCAGAACCACCATAAATTATAGTTTAAAGAACCAAAGAAATAACAGAAAACCATCACAAATACACTCAATTTCTTTCTCACCTCCATCTCTACTAGGGATCAAACCTAGGGCCTTACACATGCTAAGTGAGTGCTCTATTGAACTATATCCCCAACCTCTAAATTTAATTCTTTTAAACCATCTTAAGTGGAAGGGATGGGGCAATACTTATGTTCTGGAAATAACTATAGACCCTACAGAATTCAGTGGATCTGTTCAGTGGCCATAATGGTGAACCAGAAACTCATGGTTGTCTACTGATTTAGAGCAAATGCTTATTCTTAGATTCTCTCAACCTGACGGGATGGAAAATCCTTGGAAAAATCACAGAGATCTTCACTCCCATCTCTGCTATGGAACTGCTCACTGCCCTTCAACAATGCATTGAAACACTGTGGCCTTTAGGTTCCATCAAAAATTAGCATATATTCAAGGATCAAATTAGAAAGTTTATATAAAAGTGGTTTTGAAATTATGTATTTGGACCAGTGAGGTGTTTCAGAGGGGAAAGGGGCTTCTGCCAAGAGGATGATCTCAATTTGATCCTTGGGAACCACACAGCAAAGGAGAGAATGATTTCTGCAAGCTATGCTTTGAATCAGACACATACACATATGCACACACTGTATAAACAAATGTAAAGCCCCTCTATGTGTTGTGCTAACATGATCTTCTGAATATACTATTACTTTTATGAACCTTTAAAGGGGACATATAATCTAATCTTAAATGATTCATAAAATGATCAGTTAGAGAAATACCTCTTGGAGAACAACAGAAACTTCTGTAATGACTTACTATGAGGTGGCCGGGAGGTATGAACAGTGGTGCAATAATTACTGATGGTTTACTTGTACACTCCCCTAGACCATCGTGTAGGACTGATGGGAGTTCAGGTTAGAGACTGTCATGGCTCCCTAACAAAGTATAAACACTCCCTGGACGTTAGCTTCCCAGACTACACGGCACTTTAGTATTCTTCTCACATTCAGTTTGGTATGAATAACAGATATATATTTGTACCTCTTGTGGAGGATGGTTTGTAGATAGGTTCAACGATAAATCCCTTTTCTTATCACAGAGGTGAATAGTACTGGAGGCACTCTGTATCTGAAGTGAACACACACGGGTGTTTTAGTTAGGAATCACAGAAGTATATACAATCTACTTCACATGTTTTCTTTTTACACAAAAATCAATGGAAACAAAATCTAAATCATTTGAGAATCTGTAACTTAATTAGGTAGTGACGGTGTCCAGCAAGAGATGCTTAGGGAACGGGTTTTTCATCCTGCCTCGTCTCAACTGGCTGATGTCAGTAAACACTATCCCTCAAGTGTCTTGCAGCTTCATCTTTAAAGTCCTGCAAACAGGACTGTTTGAAGATTGAGATAACAAAGCACTTGGTTAAACACAGGTACTTAATTTGCTGTGTGTTCTATCTATCCATAGTTGTTACTGAGCAGAAGTGCGTTCCGAGCTCTATGCTCGAGTCCTATGGCTGTCTTTACCGTATTGATAAGAAGCCAAGGCAGGGACAATACAAAGCTGGTGGTGTGTTACTATGAAATGGGGGGTCATGACCAACTTTAGAGCCCCAGGATTTGTATCTATCTGACCCTAAATGTATATAATGTATTGGGGTCACAGTCATCTCTCCATCCCCTCTCTTATGTCCCACCTGCTCCCTTTTGAACTCCACCTCTCATCTTGTCCTCTGTCCCACTTTCCTGTCTTAAATAATCACCAAAACAAACAAACAGCCCTGAGTTTAATTAGGGTTGCTTGCATGTGCATGGGGTGGGCGATGAAACTTAACATTAGTTTTTCTTATTTATCTATGAGACAAGGGTGCCCATTTTGCAGGGTTACTGTAAGGAGAATTAAAAGTAATGCGTGCAAAACGGCTCTAAGCTTATTCACAGGTATTCAGCAAAAGAGAGCTGCTAAGCAGGTGATTTGTTTATCTAAGTACTATAAGTTTATACTTATAGTATAAGTATGACTCACTTTTGGCTCCATAAACTAGGATTAGACAAGTTGTCATCACTACTAAGTCATTTAAACACAGACTTGGGAGCCTAGCCCCTGCCGCAACACTTGACAGAGAATATCACCCAGCAGTCAGGGACCATGCTGGCTTCAAAATCACAGCAATCCACCTGCCTCAGCTTCTGGACTACCACAGATTGCTATGTCTATTTTTCCTCTCAATACCAGAATAATAGTAATTGTTCTTCAGAACTTTAGAAACCAGTGGGTTCTGCCCCCAGCTCTCCATTGTCCCCTTTACCACTTCCTGTTCCAGTCAGAGGAAAGACTCATATCCAGCTACATATATAACGGACCTAGTCCATCACTTGTGAACGCTCGCTAGTTCAGTCAGTGTATGTGTTTAGACCATGTAACCTTGAGGACCTGGATTTTGTTACTGAACTCAGAGATCCACCTGCCTCTGCCATCCGAGTGCTGGGATTAAAGACGTGTTCCACCACACCTGATGCACATGCAATTTTACATGTATCTTCAAGTTATGTTTTGGCTATGTCTGTTATGTAAAGTTTTCCTGAACCATTTATAATATATTGTTTTATTAGTGATACCTTATTTTTATAACTAATATATATGATATGATAATTCAAATTATTTATGGACTAGTGAATCATTTCCAAAGAAGAAATATAAGAAAGTATTATAGAAAACTTTTTGGGTTCAGCTTTTATTTTTCAAGAAACATTTACTTGGAAAAATTCAAATAGATAAGAGCTGGTTAAGAGAATTTGAAAATACAGAAAATGCAAAGGCAAGCCATTCTAAATATAGGAATATGAGGTGTGTATGTGTGTGTTTGTATCAGACAGGATCTCATTATGTTGCTCACGTTTCTCAGTCTGGCCTGGCTTCAAACTCAACTCTGCTGCCTCTACCACTAGAGGAGCTGGACCTAGAGGCACACACCACCACACTTGGTTCTTACATTTCTATTCTATTGCTAGTGTCACTGTTTGTTTGGGTATTATGGAAGTTACTAACATCCAGACTGCAATAATCTCAGCTGAAGAAACTAGAATTCCGAACACCCCCAACTACAACTCCATGTGATAATAACACTGTGACATAATAACAATGATGAATCCGTCATGGGGTTACTAAACTGTCTGAAAACACACACTTTACTTAGGAAGATAAACTAAACATTAAATTGCATA